AGTTTCCTTCTTGTTCTTAAAAGATGGGAAGCATCAAAGGCTTTTGCACCCATTTTGTGATGTAGACTGCCCCAGAGTCCAGTGGCTCTGATAGTGCAAGCTGATGTAGCTGACTGTAGCCCACCAGGAAAGGTGCAGCTCTTCACACTCCCTCCTCAACTGCACAGGAGGTTTCTCATACTCAAAACACAGATACATAATTCCTAATGTCTAGAGGTGGTGTCATGAGCTGTACAGAAATCCAGCCAGAACAAAGCACAGACCCTGCCCTGGCAGCAAAAGTCACCATGGACATGCCACCAGCCCTATACTATTAATGCCAAAGCTCATTTGGCAGCATTTACTCATATTTCCATGAGTTTCCTGGGGGTTTGTGGTCATGTCTGTGGCAGTGATTGCTGACAACATTTTGAGAGAACAGGCTTTCAACCACTGACAATTTTTTGAGGAACTTATTTTAAGAGTGAACCTAGATTGTAATATTTCCTTCTAAAGGAAAGGAGAGTGAATATGGACCTCAGCTTTTTTCTCCAGATATTTTAGCTGTACTTGAATTGTCTTCCACCCTGAGAAATTGCTTAGTACCTGCAATTAAATAATGCAACACACCAAGAGGAAGACTAACCTTTCTGTGCCTGTTCCTTTGTAACATTTTACGCTGCCTAAAGGTCTTCTGGTCTCCTGTGAAAACAACCTGGTCCCTGCCTGCCCAAAAGTGGGTCTCTGTCCCTCACCTACCTCATGAAAGAGGGCTTTCACAGTTAATTTTTGTGAAGCGCTTTGCAATTACTACCTGACAGATGCCTAAATATGGGCCATGGTTAGTATAATAGAGCAACTAAAATGACCTTTACAGAACCATTTTTGCTGTAAAAACCTCTCCTCTCAGTGTGCTCTGCTTTAATGTTCTCATCTTCTTTCCATTTAATTGTCATCTCATACCTTTTATTTCTTTTCATTGACCCTTCTGGACAACTGTTTTTGGGAAAGCCTTTTTATATATCTCTCTTTCCTTTCTCTCACTAATAGACACCATCTTCTTTTAAAGAGCAGGCTCTCTCTCCCTCAGCTAAGTACTATCTTGGCAGGCAACTGGAGAGGAGGAGTCTTCTTTAAAAGGCTCTGAAATTGTGTTGTTAAAAAATATATAAATAAAGCAACAAACCTTTTAATAGGGCTTTGAACAATCATCCCTTTCATTCCCTTATGGCCTTTTGTGCTTCTGGCTTTTTTATTATTTAGTGTGCTTCAAAAAAAATCCAAATGTTTCATGTTAAGCCATTAAGAGTTTATTTAGGTTGAAAAAAAAAAAATAAATGTGATGCTAGCAGTTGAGACTGGGAGCACATGCACATTTGCCTGGCAGAGGCAACCTATAGGAGGCACATCAGAAGGCCAGAATAAGCTTCAGTAAAAGACCAGGACAAAAGCATCAGCAGCATTTGTTTCTAGTTAAGTACTTTTACAGGAGCCTGACTACTGGAGTGATTTACCCAGCTTTTATCTGTTTCAAATTCACCTCAGTCCCCTCAACTCTCACTACAGAATCACTCCAGACTTGTAATTCATGGTAATTACATGGAACAGGAAGAAGCATGGGATTTTAAAAAATCCTTTTCTTTTCTTTTTTTTTTTTTTTTTTTTTTTTAATTATTATTTTTTTTAATCATCTGATGGGAGTATGTGACTGGTTGGTATCCAGTGTTGCTTCTGGAGCTATGAGATACCTAACTGTTTTATCTATGACCTACTTGATTTTGTGTGTGTGTGTGTATATTTTAAGTCATGGGTAAATTTTGTGAATAGCCAGTAACAGCATTTTTCTCTTTCTACCTCCTTCCATTTTTGTTTGCCAGCTTTGCCAGTCATCCCCAGAGAATTCTGTATCAGGCTGGTGACTACAGCTAGGTGTCCTAGGTGTTCAGTGCATAATTAGTATCAATCTTTCTTCATCTCAGCTCCCTGGTGGAGCCATTTGGGAGAGAGAGGAGAGTCTTTGGCAATAAATACATTATTAGGCTTGCATCATAGCTCCCATGTAAGGGATTTGGCAAATCAATATCAAAACTTAAACTTTCTAGCCCTCTTTCTCCATGAGACTGAAGTATATGGAAATTCTTGAAAAGCACACATTTAGACTGCAGCTGGTCTTGCTAAATTAATAGATTGCAAATAGATAGGAGGAACTTCTAATCTGAGCCTGACTTTGCTGTCTCAATTTTGTAGACTCATGAGTAAAGAAACTTGATAATCATTGTGAAGTTGAAAGGGATCACTGACAGTCCAGATCTCAAAAATTTAGGGAACAGGTGTCCATCTCTAGAAAGCATTCAAAGGCAGGACAGTGCCTAAAGGACACCCTTCAATGAGTGCCATTTTTCTGTGGGCCATAGAATGTCAGGTTGCAAGTGACAAAAAGAGCTTCTGGCACACATAACCTCAGGTTTATCAAAGAACAGAAATCCACTGCATTAAACAAGAGAGCGTGAAACTGTCTCTCTTAACACAGTGACATCTCCAGTTTTTCCTCTCTTGCAGCAGTGTTGCTTATTTTCATAGTATCATAGAATGTCCTGAGTTGGATGGGACTCACAAGGATCAACAAAGTTAAAAAAAAAAAAAATTATCTTGGAATTATATGATGGAGTATGATCTGAACACGCTTTTAATTGCTATATTCCTTTCACTTGCATAGTTTGCTGGAGTTCCCTATAAAAAATAAAGTGCACCTTTCAAATTTTGTTACAGCACCAGGAAAAGAAAAGAAAAAGTCATCAGATACTTGGACTTGAGACGCTTAATGTTTTATACACCTGGCTCTTGTATTCAGCCTTCTGGATGCTGGTTCTGACCTGTTCAAAATTAGGTACTAGGGCTCATAAAAAGCTAAAGAGAAAGACCTAATTAAGGTTTTCCCAGTCCATAAAACAGGGATTATAAACTTTCTGACCTTATCATGATATGTGAAAATAACTTACTGCATTCTGCAGTATTTTAGCAGGCAGGGTATGTGTTCCTGAGATACAGAAAACTGAGTGGAAAATTGAAGTTATTGGAAAAGGGGAAGACTACTTTGCTGTTGAACATTACTAATTCTAATGAGATGAGAAGAACCTATACTGTAAACTTGAACTATAAAAAAATCCCCAAAGATCAGTGGAAAACTTTCTATTGGTTTTTCAGTCTCAACTAAAAAGCAATAACAACTGATAAGGTATCTTCAGCTAATATGGACAAGTGAAGATTCACTTGATATCTGTGAGTAGCTGCTTTTAGAGAATGGTACTGTTGACAAGGCACATCTCTAACCAAAAACTGGTTGATTGTTGGATACTGAAAGCCAATCATATTTGTTTTAAAAATCCTGAGTTACTTGAACAATTTTACTTGTAAGATCATTCACCATTAGTATTTTAGAGACATTGTTTTCAAGTTTGCATGAAAGAAGTGCATTTAGGTATCTTAAGGGTTTATGTGTTTCCAGAAAACCTTTACAATTTAAAAGCTGTACTTTTGTTATCCAGTTATTGGTCATGGACCATTCAGCTATTGAAGAATATCAGCAGTAGAATGTGCTTCATGTCATACCTGGAATGATAGTTATTCCTGGAATATAGATTTGAAATAACCTGTGTCATAAACCTATGAGTGTTTATAAAATGCAGATCAAGACCCCATAAAAGAAAATAAGAAAATTCCAACTTGTGTTTATTTTACAACATAATGTCACCATGTCTCATATTTTCCTCTTACAAACCTACATGTCAGGTCTTTTATAACACTTGTCTTTTAGACCTTTGAAAAAATAAAAAAAAACTTTCACTAAAGAACTGTTAAGAAAAAAAAAAAAAACCAACAAACTAGCATGGGAAGGGATACTTTGGAGATAAGAAGCGATGATGGTTTGGATTGTGTGGCAAAAATAGGATTCCAGTGCTGGTCTGACAGTTAAAGACTGAAATTGCAAAGGGATTAATGAGAACAAATATTATATTTCGAAATCTGGAAAGAGTTGTTTGTGATTTATTGTAGGTATAAGCAAAGGCAATGAAGTGGCTTGATGTGAGGGGAGGCCAATGGTCAGAAGTGCCAGATCTGTATGGTAATTGCCTTATAGGGGACTGAAAAAGGTATTTTTGCTTCTATGCCAAAGTTGTGCTTTGGGGTGACTAGTGGGGTAAGGATTTGCAAAGAATAGATTAATTTAAAATAATATTTAGACTATATGGGGTTTTTTCCTTTTCATGAAGTCAAGTAAGTCACTGAGTTTTTCAGTTTCTGTGGTGAGTCTGGAAGATTCTGAACTAACTTCTGCTACTTAACTGAGCTCCAGGGTTCCAAATCTAGATCCTGCACAAATTCCATATGTTCCTTTTAGATCCCTTCTGGAAGAAAATAAAGGTTATAATGAAGAAAATCCTGTGTAAGGACTATAGCAAATGCACTCAGTAGACTAAGCAAGACTGTAGTTCTGTTTCAACCTGATAAAACAAATAAAGCATAATGTTAAGACAGTGGAAGAGTAACACCCGCCTCCTCCTCCTCCTCCTCCTCCTCCTCCTCCTCCTCCTCCTCCTCCTCCTCCTCCTCCTCCTCCTCCTCCTCCTCCTCCTCCTCCTCCTCCTCCTCCTCCTCCTCCTCCTCCTCCTTCTCTGCACACACACACAACTTGTTTACAAAAGTGCCTTGTAGTGACTGCTGGTGGTGTCACTCCGTCCCATGCCCCAGAGCTATCACCGGGCCTCATGGGAGATGTGACTGCAGCATCAGACATGGGACTGTTTGTTCACTCACTTTCTGTGAAGAGAGTTTTGAACTGTGTTTTGAATAGACAGCATTTTCTTTGTGTGGTTGGTAAATAACACAGAGCAAAGTTAGTCAGCAAGTTGCATAGCTTCTGCATTCTGATTCTTTGGAGCCCTTTTGTACCAAGCTTGACAGGATGTTTTTAACAGAATGTGACCTCACTGGGATATCAGAGGTAAGGAAAAAAGTTATTTGGGCTGTTGTGGAATATTTTGCGCAGAGCTGACTGAAAGTACTGCTTTAAAATGCCTTTTGGAAAGAAGACGCTCTCATGATGATCCGGTCAACACCTTGTTCAGTGAAAATCAATGTCTTTCACTCCTTTGTGAGTTATAGGAAGTCTTAACGAGACTTTCAATTTCCCACGTGTGGAAAAAGAGGCTGACCTGCAAATCTCAGAATGATCATGTACTCGCTCATGGAGCAAAGGCCCAGTTCTAGAGCATCAAAATGTTTCCTTTCTAACACAGCACAGCATAAGCACAGCAGATCCAGTTGCTCATCCAAGTCCTAGGAACAGCAGCGTGAGCACCGGAGCGGTGGCAAACCCAGCAAGACCAGGCAGCATCAACCTTGCGGACACCCATCCTCAGCCTCTGGGCGCAGGTAAGAGGCAGCACCATGGAGTTCCCTGGGTGGGAACCGGAGTGGGTTTTCCTCACGAACAGTGGAGCTGAGGCTGCTGCTCGTTGCCGTGCTGGGATGCAGAGCAGAGGGGTGTGGGGCCCCTCTCCTGCCTCTGCCTCAGCGCGGGGGGACCGGCTCCTCCATCCTGCCGGCCCTCCAGGGCATCCCCGGGGGCTGCCCCGGCTGCTGAGCGCCGGCAGGATGGATGGATGGATGGATGGGGCGAGCTTCAGCCGCAGTAAAGCAACAGAGAGACATAGGAGTGCTCCACAAGTCGGAGAACATGGTTTAAAAACAACCCAAATAAAGAGAATGTCAGGTTCGGATATCTATACAGTATAAAATATTTTAGGTTCATGCTGAATATCTGAGTGATTTGTTTGAATTCAGGATCTAGAAAGGTATTTATGGAAAACGAAAGAAAAATGCATTATTACAAAATACAGCTTCATGAATAACAGGAATCTTGCTGTTCTGAAATGGAATTAACAATATGTGATCCATTTTACTATCTATATCAACAGAACAACCAAGCTTCCTTGTTTTTGTGGACAGCAGTTGTAGGGGTTTTTTTCAGACAGTATAGGTGACTTAAAAATTTTAAAAGTTTGTTTCAAGTCACTGGTGGAGCAGTAAGGAAATGAAGTTCTCATGATATGTGAAACTGTTATTCATACTTAAAGAATTTAATAACAAAGAGATCTAAAAATATGTTTTTAAAATTGGAAAGTTCTGGGTTTTGTTGACAACGAAAGTGTTCTCAGGTAAATGAGGATGGAAAATTTTGTTCATTTACTTATGACTAACTGCAGTTGCTTTTTACTGTAAAGCATATAAAGAACTAGAGCTTTGTTTTTGCTTGTGATCAGTTAAAAAATTGATGGTTTGAACTTCATCTAGTTGTATAAAAGGTGTGGTGAGTGCATCACTTGTCTCAGTAAGACAGGTTTGACAATGCTTTTATATTGCCAATCCTGCTATTGTACTTCAATCCATTGGTGTTTGGTTATAAAAGCTGCAAGGTCTGCCCTAATCTTAAAGCAAATATTTGTACCGAAGAACCTTCTAGAGAGAAGCATGTTCTGTGAAGCAGAAGTATTTCAAGTGGGGATGACTAAAGATATTAAATTTATATTCACAACTTTGGTATTTGTGTTGCAGTAGTACTTCTGATCTTCATCATAGGTCAGATGCTTGGAATTCTATAATAAAACCCAAGATTTTATAGAGCTAACAACTAATTACCACATGACACATGAAATAGCAGTTCAATTTAAAAAAATATTACAAATTAGTAGTAATAAATGTGTTAAGATAGAGTTTTCAGATTTAGTATCTACCTACAGCTGCATATATATACTGTGAGGTGTTTTTTTAACAGATGATTTTTCCTAGTGCCTCATTCACTAAATATAAATTGCCACCAATAGGTGTAATCTTGATCTTTTTATGACTTTCAGTCAGGGAGAAGTTAGCAGGGTGGGATGCAATTTACTTCATCCCAGAATTTGAAGAAAAGAGTGCTAAAGTTCAATAAAAGTGGATTGTTTCATACTCAAGAAACCTAAAGTGGAGAAACCAGTAGAGGTCAGTGCAGAGTGCTGAAATAGAAGGAGAGTGCCAAGGCTTTGTGTATTTATGCTCTTTACTTTTGATCTTTAACTTTTCCTTTTAAATGGGGTAAAGGCTTTCAGTGGCTTACATTCTTATCCTCTTCAAAAGATAGATTTGAAGAAGATTTGAACATTATCATATTATCACAAGTAAACATACTTGTGATAATATGATAATGTTACACTGCTTAAACAGATCAATTTAAGCAAAAAACCACATTTTGTTGCATGCTATAACTAGCAGACAGATTCTGGAAACCTTATTTTGTGGAATCATTATTGGAACCAATATGTAATACTTACTGCATATACTGTAGTGATAACTACATCTATCTGATGGCTATGTAGCAAAAAAAAAGTATGAGAAAGTATAATTTTTATGGAACAAGTTTTCAAATATTCGAAGTTAGAGCAACAACAGAATTTTTCTCGTTTTTGGTAAAAATTTTGGATAATTATCATTATGTGGTATTTTAAAAGCCTTTTCTTCATGTATATACATAGATATGCAGGGGACTGTGGGGAGGCAGACTGTATATAAAGTTAAATTATCTTTTGTTTCTCTTTTTAAAGCCATTGTTTGCTTGTGGTTTCCTTTTGTGATTTAAAGCAAGGAAAAGAATCACTGCCTATAGTCTGTGCATGAAAAGATCCTTCAATATATATTAGCTACAAAATCTTCTCTCTGAAAAGCTTCTTTTCAAACTGCTTTCTGTGGATCTAGAAAGAGCAACCTGCCTGTCCTCATTCTATTTCCTTACACTTTAACTGAGTACTTTGAAAAGTAGCTTGCAATTGAATTGTGATTCTTGATTATCAAGGAATTGTGAAAAAGATTATCACCAGATAAAAGGGGTTATGTTCTACTTTGATTCTGACACCAATTTACATTTGCCGTCTATGATGTTAGGGAAAAATTTCCTGTACCTTTGAAGAGAGTAGAGCCACACAAAGAGTAAATATTCTTGAAAATACTCTTCATTTGTTCTGCTTACCTTTCATGTGCTTCTTTAAATTTATTTTGGAGGCGTTGGAAAGAATCCAACACCTTTGAAAATCATACTTTCTTTTAATTTGCTTTATCATGCTCTTAAAAGTGACAGGAACCAGACAGAGACTCTGCAACCCTTCCTCCCAGGCACTTGTGCTGTGTGCCATGAGTGTGTAGGAAGCTCCAGGGGCTTTAAAGGGAGAATTACTGGAGGGGAGGGATTCCCTGCTAACTGTAGCAGCTCTCAGCAGAATAAATTGAGGTGGGAAGAAGAGAGAGGTGTTATAAGCTGCTGTTGCATATCTGACCCGTGATATGGTTTTTGCTACAATCCTCTGTGTTACATCACACACAGGTCTTCTAATCCTTGGGTTTTCATGTCAATATCTCCTTTTATACAAGTAGCATAATGTACTGGATTTGCTGAAGCCAATGAAGTGCTCCTTCACAGTTTGAATCAGTGGAGAGACCAGAAGCTCTACAGCTCTCTTTTTTTATTTTTTCCCCTGGGGCAGAGGAAACTTAGAAATAATCTCATTTCTTTTATAACACAAGATCCAATCTAATAGAGTGGCATACAACTGATGTATGTCAAATGCAATTTCTAGAATGATTCCAAAATTTTACCAGAACTTTGCAGTCAATTCCTCTTAATTCAGTTCTTATTTAAAACTGAAGAAATAACTTTAAGTACCGATTTCACTCCTGGATTTGATTGCGTTTTGAAAAAATAGTCTTGAATCTAAAAGCCAAATCCACCTTCTTTCCCCACATAGATTTCTGTTGTCCATAATATTTAGACAAACAATATTTTTCCAATTGGCTATTACATATCTCTCACATTTTTTGTTGGTTAAAAAGACTGTGAGAAGTTGTATTGAGCTGAGCCACAGAGGAAGTGCTCAATTGCAGTATCTGATTCTCTTCATCAGCATCAGTTATTTTTGGGAGGGAGCACTTTTCAAATTACTTTTCTGAAAAGTAATGCAGAGATTTAAGTTAAGTATTTATAATACTCTGTGCTCCTATTTTAGGGAGTTGATATTGAAGTCCACAAGGCCAAGTGGAGTCTTTCTTCAATGAAGTCAGTGTGTTTGTGTGTTTGTGTGTTGAATTTCATCATCTGGTCTGCTTTTTTTTTTTTTTTTTTAATTTTTATTATTATTATTGTGACATATTAAATACAAACCCCCAAAATTTGAGAGGCCAAAATAATATTGCTTAAAATACGTAGTTTAGTCAAGTGTAAAGCTGTACTAGAAGTTTGGTGTCCTTATCTACATCCTGACTAAAGATAGAAGATTGCAGCCAAGCTGTTCATGATCAAGAAACAGTAGGTCTATTTTATCACTGAAATTTCCAGTCTCTCATAAATCTATGTTTGATATTTTTTTGATTGTAGTATTACATTCATGCATACAGGTATAGCAACATCATGTTCTCATTTTTTTTCCTTATCTTCTGATGTCTTTGATCTATTTTTTTTCCCTGGTTTGTAGAAGATTTTCCCTGCAAAGTAGCTATGCATAGTTATATTATCCTGCCATTATATAACCACATTAATGTTTGTTTAACTCAGGAATATGTTTATTTTTTTTAATGCATATTGGTGTACTTTATGTTACCTGAAATGAAGGTATCTGTCATTCAGCTATAAAACTTTGTTTTCTGTTTAGGCACATATCAAAAAAATGTGAGCTTGTGTTCAGATGGGAATAGCACTGATCCAGTCAGTGGTGATCAGTGACAGGTGAAAATCTCATGTAAACAAGGAAACTGTGGCATTTGCACCAACAATTTAATAAATTCAGGCTCCTTGCTGGTAATTACATTATCAATCTGCAGGTTGCAAAATAAATAAATTATAACCAATACATTAAAATGATAGATGTAGGCAAGTAAACCCTAATTTCAAACATTTGATAGGGAGGAAAAATTATAGATTTTTCACCCATTTCATGAAGAAATGGACAACCTAAGCAATTAGTATGATTTTGGGAAATGTAGACATATATCTCAAGAAAATGTCAATATAACAGTTTCATTGTTGGTGGTTCTATCATTTTACTGAAATATATCTATGGAGGCACCTTTATTCCTAACATGCTTTAAGAATCAGAAATGGTGATTTCCCCTGATTATATTAGATTTGATCATATAGCTGGGTGTAGGTGTTTTTCACTTTCTCCTAGATTTCTGCTGGGAGTTTGTTACCTGCCCTTTCACTATGTATCTCAAACAAATAGTAGGCTTTTGTTTTTAATTTCTTCACTTTCTCATTTGTCAAGAACAAAGTTTAGGCACCAGTCTAAAGTCTTGATATTCTTTGACTCACTCTGAAATCCATACAGAGCTGATAAAAGTTTTGAGTATCT